CCAAAATGTGTTTTGTTGTGTTATATTTAATATCTAGGATATTATTAGTATTAATTAGTCACTGTTTCTCACTGTTATGGCATTTGTCATTAAAATGATCAAAACTATTTTGCTGTACACATTCCAAATGTTTTTGTTTCTATTCTAGATAATATAACTGAATGTAAGTGTTTGCAGTTACTGATAGCTACATTTTCATTTCATCATCCCTAAATGACCCCATTTAATTCCATTAGTTTGATTATTTGGAGAGTCATATTTTTTCAGAGGATTACATATTTTAAAGAGCTTTTTAAGGACTGCCTTCATTTTAGAAAGCTATGTTGCAATACAACTTTATGCACGTGTCTCTTCATTCACCTCTTTTCTTAAGTGACTAAGCGAGAAGCAGGTCAAACCTACACACCTGCAGACTTTCTGCAGGCTATAGTGAGAATCTGCACATAAATGCAAACTTTAGGTCTAACTCTCTGCAGGGGAAGCCACCCAGCACTGACCATATGGTCAGACAGTATGCAAATAGCATGACCATAATCCTGATCAAATCTATTATACAATGTATTTTGCATTTAGAATTCTTCTACATAGCAGCACAGCGACTACATGCCCGAGCTACAGTATGTCGACAACCTGTTTCAATGCAAATTGTACCCTCCTAGCAGAAGAGGCAAGAACTCAGCTGCCATCTGTTCTCGTTTGTTTATCAGGAGCCTCAGGCTGTTTTATTTGAGCACTGCTTCTGAAAGTAATTGAAACTGAAAGTGTTTATGCTAAATGAAGTTGTTTTTATTTGCTGTGTATGTGTCTTTAGAAGAATTTAGATTTTCATACACTTTGGTACAGGTGTGAAACTTTAGTCTGTCCATCTCAGATTCTCCTTTTAGACACCTGTGTCAACTCTTTTTTTCTTTATTAGCAGTTTATATCTTCTTCCATTTCTCTGCATATTCCCAAAGAGGTCCAACAAATATAGGCACAAGCAGGGGTATGGACTCATGGTATACCTTGATTGTTTTATTTCCATTTCTTTTCACTCATATGTTTTCTTTTATTCTATCTTTAAACTGGCAGACAGGGGTGTGGTTTGGTTAGATATTAAAACAACTTGCTATAGACTCATTCATTACATAGACTTTGTACTAGGTTGTTTTATCTAGCAGAAATAGGATTCTTTAAATAAATGATTTATCCTGGGACACCAAGGTTCCTGCTCTTGGCATCTACGTTATCTCATGAGCGTTTATCTTATTATTATTATCTTAGATGGGGAGCACGTTTCTGTGCTCGCCCACGTGGGCTCTATAAACCTATCAGTTAAGCGCCGCCCCCACTTTACTTGCGAACTCCCGCGAGAGGTGGAGGTTTGGCGTCCTGCATCTGCTCCGGCGTAGACAGAGGCGAGGCCAGCTCTGACAAACACTGAGGTGAGTGTCCGAGAACAAACCAGGGAATCTCTGCTTTTTCCCCGAATTAAATTCCTACTTTGATACTGGCTATTTGTAGATGAAACCCATTGCTAGACAGCTGAATCCGACTTTCTGTGGGCGCGGAGTGGAAAACTTTTATTGAACTTTGAAACGCGACTTTGTAACTTTGAAACGCGACTTTGTAAATTTGAAACGCTACTTTGTTTAGTTAACCTTAACGTTACCTGTTCTGTTCAACACCATTTATTATTTAGCTTCTGTTAAACTTGGGCGCGTGTGTGTTTTACCTTTTCAGCGGACTTGCACATTTTAATTAGCCTTAAACTTGAAATATCTTGTTGAATTTGCGTCAGAGTTGTGGGTCAAACCTGGTCCATGTTTCAGCTTCCCGTGTTTTCCCGGTTTTGTTCCTAATTTCCAGTCGTTTCTATTATTTTGTGATGCAGCAAACAAGTTGTTTCATGTTGTTGTTCCTGTTGGGTTGGTCCACCGGTGTTGGTCGGAATGTAGTCAAACCTCTTGGAAGTGATTCAAACCTTACTTCATTTGGTCATGTTGCAGTCAAAAGTCCTCTCTGTGTGTGCGCGCGCGTGTGCATGTGTACCTTTTTTGTCTTGTGGCCAGTTAAAGTCACCACAGGTCCTCTAATCACTTGTTTTTGTCCTGGACACGTATGACTGGGAATTGCATGAAAACAAAGGTGAACTGATCTGAGCCCAGATTAGGTCGTTGCAGTGAACAGACACATGCATGCGCTTTAAATACAACGCTACTGGCTCTGAATGCCTGAAGGGGAAACTCCACCTAATGTATATTCAGCTCAGTTTCCTCATTCTGAGGAGCAATACTCTGAAAACATCTTATCTCCAGTGGCAAGAACAGCTACGTGGAACGACTTGGCTTTGTGTTCACTGACCCCAATGATGAGCGAGCATCAGAACAGCTGCTGATTTCATTTTTGTCCATTGAGTGATATGATTTGGTTGTGATCTTTGGGTATGTGTGACGTCTAACTTTCTTTTTATGGTGAGATGTTATATAAAAAAAAAACAACCTAAACCTTTGTTTTGTTTTTAACTCGCAGCACAATTCTTTAAGTGCAATGTGCATTTACTGTGCAAATAAACATAAAAAAAAACAACCTAAACCTTTGTTTGCAAACATAGGCTGATGTGACTCGCAGCACAATTCTTTAAGTGTGATGTGCATTTACTGTGCAAATAAACTGACTATTTGTTGCAGCGTTCTTGGTTAACCAGATCATCTGAACATCACGCTTCTTGTAGAAAATCAGGAAGCTTATCTTATGAGCTGCTGCTGCTTCTTCTTCCTGCCTGATAAACATACCAGATCTTGTCAGCTTTCATTTTGCTACACAGCATCAGTCTTCTTTTTCTTCCTCTGCAGGTTAGAGTTCTCATTTCTGACACAATGTCAAACCGAAGTCTTATTCAACGCGTCCGCAGCCCCCCTCAACCCCCAGCACACGTACTAGGTGAGTTCCGACGGTCATTCGTGAACACTTGTCCTGTTTTGCTAAGACATGTAGAGAAAATCACCTGTGCTTCCAATTAAAAATAGTTTTTCTTTCAGGATTTTCAAAGGTGACTCTCTGCATCTTGCCAGTTGCTCAGATCGCAATTGGTGAGTGATCTTACTCGTACTGTTTGAATGAAGGAGACGTTTCACAGATTCTTTTTGTTTGTTTAAAAATACCAGACAACCTACATTTTTTTCTGCACTTGTGGAGAAGTTATTTCTTGAATCTAGTGAACATGTGGTATACATGGTTTTAGAGATACAGACGTCCAAAACTCATCTTGGATGGTCATGGCCATGGCCACCCCCACCCCTTTGAAAAAAAAAAAAGGTTTTCCTGATATACATATTTATATGTATATGTTGAAAGTGCTGTTTGTCAGAGGCACTGAGCTACAAACAGCCTGCTGGTAAGATTCTGTAGTTAGGCTACCCGTGGATTCAGCTGGCTGTCCGGTTTGTCGGAGAACCACAGTCTTTAGTAAAGGCTTTGTGGAAACTCCACCCATGGTAAAGGAGCGACAGTGATCAGATCAGACAGTGCCTTATCTTAGTATTGCAGTGCCTTATCTTAGTATTGCAATGCCTTATCTTAGTATTGTGCAACATCTTTGCAGCACAGAAGCAGAATTATTTTCTCAACGTATTTTATATTCCTTGCAGTCCAGACCTCAGTGTATGGGTATGGCTGTGCATGTAGACTAACCAATATCTTGTGTCTAACAGGGTCGGTGTATTTGAATGACTGTCCACGGCAGCCCTATATTCCCATCTATTTGATAGTGGTGGGGGTGTTTGGTATGGTGCTATCAGTGCTCTCCTGCCTGCCCTGCGCCCAGGAACCCACAGATGGCACCTCCAACCCCCTGAGCCGAGTCTGCGCGACCTGGAACTCCCTCACGTCTTTGTTCCTCTTCTGCTGGTTTATCGCTGGTGAGTCTCAACAGCTGTTGGCTGACAAATGAACCCTGGAGGTGCTCCGTGCTCCAGGCTGCAGTTTGCTTCCGTCCCCCCATTAAAAGATGGGAGAATCAACACGGTGTAGTAACATGCATTAACCAATAGATGGCGACCTTGTCTTTAATTCAGTTCAAAGTTTATTTGTATAGCAGCAAATCACAAAGTGACACTTTACAAAGGAAGGTCTAGACCTTACTGATAAATTCAGTTTGTAATCAGCCTTGTATGTTAGATGAGTAAAAGTAATGTGGTCTCAGTTAGGCTGGGGGCAGGGTATTGTAATGTTGGTGAGCTGAAACCTCTGTAGCCTCTGACCTGCTGTGTGACCGTTATATTACAGTACACTGCCTTCATTTGACAGACACATTAACCTCCATAGAACCAAGAAGGAGGTACGATCAAAATATTTTAAGTGCACACCCGCAAAAATAACAAAGAGCTTTGTCCACACCTTTGAGACCGGGTCCTTCAAAGCTGCTTGTAGCTGTAGGGGCCCATCCCATGAAGTTCATGAAGCCTCGGCTGCCACACATTAAGTGAATACAGCTGTTCAAATGAATAGCATGGGTGTCTCTTCTAAGGCAGGAATGATACAGATGTCGGACATTTTATGATTAATGAGTGAGCCAGAAGCCATTTTTGCAGAATATGACAAAAAAAAAAAATCATCTTTAACATTAAACTGGATGTACAGTAGCTGTCATTCATCAAATTTGTGTAGATGTGAAAGCTCTGAAACGGATCATTCAGTCATAAGAGAAAACAACCTACCTCTGTAATTTGGTGTCTTGTTTTCTAGGTAATGTGTGGATCTACTCGATTTACCAGCCCAGTTACAACAAGAACGCGACAAATGTGGACGCCTACTGCAACAAAACGCTCTACCTGTTCGCCTTCTGGACCACAACGTTGTTCTACATCCTCTTGGGTCTGTTTGTAATAATGGGCTGCTGCGTCCTCTTCTGCTGCTTCCTGTGTGGCCGCGCCGACCCTGATGATAACGTCTAGTGACACACAGAAAACAATGGGGGCTGAAAATGTGTTGCTGAAGCTGTTGCACGTGTACCAAGGCCCGGTCTGTCATTGCACGAATTGCAGTCTGAGACTATGGTTCGTAAGTGCTGCCATGAAACAGTGTTTGACCTCTTGTTCACCTTTGTCTTGTAGCTTCTTCTCATTTGAACACCTAGCTTGTTGTTGTGACGCTTCTAGTTGCCACAGTCCCAGTCGATAGGATAGTGCACGTTTTAACGCTTTGTTTCTTACCTCTGAACCTTCTCCACCTCCACCTCTCCAAAACCTATGTGAGATATGATGATTAGATGTGTCAGAAATTAAGCTGAAACTTTAAATGTTGCTTCCACGTGTATTAATTTGCTTTGTAATTATGTACTTTTTGTGTCTATAAAGGATTTTCACTAACATGCACTTCACTAGACAGTGATTTTTTTTTTTTTTTTTTTTTTTAAACAAAATTGGTTTACTTTTATAAAAATACTTA